TCGGACAACCGGCAGGCTCTCGTCGAGCGGGGAGAGAAGATCAGCGGGCGGCGCTGCCACGGTCAAAGCCGCGCGGCCGCGGCCGCGGAGACTTACTGTTCAGAGTGGCGGTCTTAGGCTCGCGGAGAAGTCCGAGGACCTGGCGGACGCCGCCACCGACTTCCTCCACACCGCAAAGGCGCTGCGAAGGCAGGCCGAGGAGCGCTCGGGGTGGCTCCCATTCTGAGTGCCCCTCTGGGCCTGACCTTGCTTTTGTCTGTGGTGATGCCTTTCCCTGAGAACGCACACAACGCCTCGTGTGTAATGCCCTGTGTTCCGCGAGTGCGTGTGCCCCGTCGTCCATGCTAGGACGTGTGTAACACTGACTGACTGACTGACTCTGGGCCTGACCTTGCTCGGTCAGCAGTCGACGGTCAGCGTGCTCCACATTGGGCACGCGCTGACCGTCGTGGCGCTCCACAGTGGCCTGCTGCCGAGTGACGTGGTGCCGTACGCGATCACCCGGGATGTGTGGCAGCCAGCGCTGGCTGAGTGTCGTGTGTGTGTCGAGGACTCCTTCCTACCAACGCACAGCTCCTCGCCGTGCACCGGCATCGGGGCGTTGGCCGGCGGCTCGGCCCCGGTGAGCGGTGTGTTGTCAGTCGGCCGGAGAGGGTATGGAGAGCGGCACGTGCGCGCACGGCGCGCTCTCCCTAGGAGGAGCCACGCACCGCGCGGTCCGCCCGGGCCGCGCCGTCGTCCGTCGTTCTGTGAGCTGTGTCACACCCTATAGCTATACGTCTCTCTAGCTCTAGGTTTAGCTAGACTCCCATATCTACTTCAGACCCACGCGCTGCCATCACCTGTGCATCTTCCTTTTCTAAAATTCTAAATCCAGACGCTCAGTCTATGTAGAGACAACCCTCGAGAGACAGCAGACAGCCCGGCCCACGACCCGTACTTTCGCGTGCGCTCAACCAAGAACGCAAGAACCATAAACAGTGTTCCGTCGGACTGTGTCACGTGCGCAGTACCCGGCCGCCACTAGTGCGCCACTAGTACGCGAGCATGGTCGCGGCGCCGCGCTCAGTCCGGCACCTCGTCAAAGTACAAGCCGTCCTCCTGCTCCTCGACCGCACCACCCTCGCCGCCCTCAGCCTCGACGGCATCCGCGCTTGCCGCCGCGGCCGCCGCTGCCTCCTCCTCCGCCGCCGCCGTCCTTGCGTCCTCCTCCTCCTGCCACGTGGCACCCTCGTCGCCGCCGCCCTCCCTCACGAAGACACGCAGCTCCGCCGGCGCCGAAGGCAGCGGCGGCACGGCGCGCGAGATGCGGAAGCTGCCGCTGAGGTACCTACGGCTCGCTCGCCCTCCCTAACTCCCTGCACGGCGCGCGAGATACGCGGAGGCTGCGGCCGGGGCGGCACGTCGTCTCGGGGAGAAGTGGGGAGATATGGGGAGATATGGGGAGATGTGGGGAGATGTGGGGAGATGTGGGGAGATGTGGGGAGATGTGGGGAGATGTGGGGAGGTGTGGGGAGATGTGGGGAGATGTGGGTAGATGTGGGGAGATGTGGGGAGGTGTGGGGAGATGTGGGGAGATGTGGGGAGGTGTGGGGAGATGCGGGGAGGTATGGGGAGATGTGGGGAGATGTGGGGAGATATGGGGAGATGTGGGGAGATGTGGGGAGATGTGGGGCGGCACGTCGTCGCGAACTTCCCCGACGCCAGCGGCCGCAGCGGCGGAGGCAGGGAGTACGACGAAGCCCGCGGCACCTGCGCCCGCCAAAGCGAGGGCAGTGACGTGCGGGCGGGGGTAGACGCCACGTCGCAAGTAGTGCCGGTGCATTCGGATGGCAGGGGCGTGGAGCCGGCAGCTACAGTCAACCCTAGGGTGCCATCGCTGGGAGAGCTCTGTCCGGTGAGGCAATCCGTGGTCCCCGGCACGGGAACGTAGACGCTCGCCCCGGGGGGCTCCTGGCGAGCAGAGGCCAGGCCAAGCCCACCCTGGGTACCCGAGGATTTGGGTTAGGGGTAGGGGTAGGGGTAGGGTAAGGGTTAGGGTCAGGGCTAGGGTTGGGGTAAGGGTTAGGGGCTGGGCTAGGGTCAGGGTAAGGGTAAGGGTTAGGGGCTCCTGGCGAGCAGAGGCCAGGCCCACCCAAGGTACCCGAGGTACCTGCTCGCCCCCCACCCTCCACAGCCCTCGAGACGACAGTACCTCAAGGTACGGCCTCTCGGCCCCTGTGGTGGCACGGTGCTCTCCTCCCATTTGGGGAGCTCTTTCGAGGACTCTGCTCCAAGAGACCTCGAGAGAGCGTGCGTGTGCCTCGACTCGCCAGCCAGGGGCTCGGAGCTGGCCACACGGCCGCACGCAGAGCCTGCACACGTGGCGCTCAGCCCCGCGCCCCGGATCTCTCTGTGTCGCGACAGTCGCTGCTCTGTGTGTGTGTGTGTGTGCGCGCGCGCGCGCACTCAGGGCGAGGGACTGCAGCCACACTCCACGCACGCACGCACGCACGCACGCACGCACGCACGCACGCACGCACGCACGCACGCACGCACGCACGCACGCACGCACGCACGCACGCACGCACGCACGCACGCTCGCACGCACGCACGCACGCACGCACGCACGCACGCACGCTCGCACGCACGCACGCACGCACGCACGCACGCACGCACGCACACTCCCGTGGCGACGGCCGACACCCGCGCAGTGCGCAGCCCACTGGCTCACCAACAAGTCGTGAGCTGGTACTACCGGCCGCTCGCGCGGGGGCTAGCACGCACGCACACGTGGCGAGACGGCTCGGGGGCCTGGCTGGTACAGCCCCAGCCTACCCCGCGTCAACTCTCGAGGGGCCTCGAGAGCCAGCCGCTCAGTGTACGGACTCTGTGTCACACCGGGCGGCGAGGAGGGGCTGCGGCAGTAGCAGACAGCCTCTGTGTCACACCGGGCAGCGAGGAGGGGCTGCGGCAGTAGCAGACAGCCTCTGTGTCACACCGGGCAGCGAGGAGGGGCGGCTGCAGTAGCAGACAGGCGCAGAGCGGATGCAGCTGGATGCAGCTGTGCGCACGGCGCGTCCCCTCGAGTGCTCTGGTCTGCCCATATCTCCCCATATCTCCCACATATCTCCCCACATCTCCCCTCAAGTGCGCCGGTCTGCCTTCCGCCTCTAGACTGGCCGAGATCTGGGGAGACGTGGGGAGATGTGTGGGAGAGAAGGGGATATGTGGGGAGATATGGGGAGATCTGGGGACGCGCGGGGAGCCCCGGTGAGTCGAGGTGCATCCGGTCGGCGCCTGTCTGATACTGTCGGCGCCTGTCGGCGCTGGTCGGTGTGGCACGGAGCCTGTCGGAGTCTGCCGGAGCCTCTCCGCGAATGCCGTCGAGCTCTCGCGGCACCTGAAGACGAAAGTGGCCACGGCTTTTTTCACGGGCGGCGCGCGCCATCATCTCTTGCCGCGCAACAAGAAGAAACGCGCGCAGGTGAGGTTAATGACTGCACTCCAAGTGCTCCAAGTGCATGTGTTCCTTGTTCACGGACGGCGCCGTCCAACTCTCGCCGCACCTCCTCGAGCGTGATCTCCCCATATCTCCCCATATCTCCCCATATCTCGCCGCACCTCCTCGAGCGTGATCTCCCCATATCTCCCCATATCTCCCCGTAGCTCGCCGCACCTCCTCGAGCGTGAGCGAGATCGTGGAGCCCGCCGCCGCTCGCCTCGATGGGAGATGTGGGGAGATATGGGGAGATGTGGCGCGACGTGGTGCGGTGAGATGTGGGGAGATATGGGGAGATACGGGGAGAGCAGGCGCGAGGAGGGGCGGAGAGAGCTGGACGGGGACGTGCGTGACCTGGGGGCGCGTGCTTTGGGGGGCCGTGGCGTGCAGGACTTGGCCGCGTCTGGGCGCGTTTCGTCGTGTGGCGCGGGAAGAAATGATGCCGCGCGCAGCTGGTCAAAACTGTACTGAGCTGGAAAGTGCACCTCCGCTTCTTGAGGGTACTTCACCACCACCGTCTCCACCGAGCAGACGCCGTGCGCTCCAGGTAGCATCGCTCCCTCGGCCAACATGTCTGCGTGCGCGCTGTGCACGAAAGGCAACTTCGCAGCCTCCACCACCGCTTGCGAGGAGTGCGAGGCGGGCACCTATGCGGCGAGCGAGGGCCTCTCCCTGTGCACTCTCTGCCCCCACCCCCTCAGCTCCAAGAGCGGCGACGTCACCTGCTCCATCTGCAA